TAATTTTCATTTAGGTTCATGATAGCCCTAGTTTTTGTTTTGTTTTGTTTTCTTTTTTTTTTTCCTCTAGGAAAAAGAAATTTATCGCTGGCCAATCAAAGAGTCTTTGAAGACCATGCTGGCTTGGGGTTGGAGAATTGAAAGAACGCGGGAGGGAGACAGCATGGCCCTTTATAACCGGACCCGTCGTATTTCTCAGACAAGCCAGGTGAGAATCGAAGTGATGATTCAACTATTTCTTTTATATTTTAAATAATTTCAATTCTTCATCTAACTATTGGGTTTTTCTAAACAAATAATTTGAAGATTCTGAAGACTAATAAAATTTACAAGGGAGAGGAAAAAAAATATTACTTTTTCTTTAGTTTTAAGTGAGGTTGAATCATGATTAAAGTATTGGGATCATTCAATACAGTTAGATTGCCCATAGAGCTTTCTTCTTATTTCCAGTCAGATCTGAGGGTTAGTTCTTAGTACATGGAGTGCCACACTAGAAAAAAAATGTTTTTCCTTGGGGCCATGGTGTTTTATTACGAAAATAGAATAAAAACTTCAAAAATAACATGATTCTTTCTAATTTAATGAAAGATTTGTTATTTTTAATTGTTTTCTGTGCATGAGTTATATGCAACTTGAAAAATAGTTCACAGGGCTCCCAAGGTAAAGAGATGTGGGAGTTACATATGCTTCATGAGGCCCCGGGCTCAAAACTAGCGTGAGTTAAATATAACTCACATGGCAATTCATGTGTTAACAAGCCTTAACCTCATTTAACAGATGGGTAAACAAAATCTTAAAACAGGTAAGGTATTACCGAAGCCTGCACTATTTGTACTTGGTAGGGCACAGGCAGTCTGTAGCTATGGCACAGCTGCCTGTGGAATGGGACAGACAGGGGAAAGCACTGACAGCTGTAGTTGAATGGGTAATTTTGAAAGTGAAAGGTAATGAATTTTAAGCAATTAATGCCTATTTAATCTTTTTCCTTTCCTTTTTTCACTGAAGTAAGAAGTGTGGTTGTCAGCCAAATGTCTTAAGAAGGGAGAGGGTTTAAGAGCTAAAAAAAATTTAGGCTGAAAATATTCATTATTAATAGGGTATGATCCAATAAGGATTAGCTAAAAATACTGTTGTAATGAGGATCCAATTGGAATGGAATTTGTAATTTTTATGATGTCTCGGTAAATTTTAACAGTCCAGGAGCAGGAGTTACCATTTGGGTGGCTTGTGATTGCTCAACTAGATAATAAAAAAACACTATAGACTCAAGAGTCGTTTTTTAATTCACATTTAGTGTTTTCAGTTGAAATTTACATTTGAATCATATAAGCCTCTGTAATAAGCTTAGCTAATGTAGGAATATGCTTTTACATTGGACCACATGCTTGCTTGGGACATGGAAAACCAGCATGATCTTAACATGGTGATTGCATTACCATTTCATTCTTAGATGGTGAAGCCACAGAAGCCAGGGTTCGGTCAAAACTGAATATAAGTTGAGTATAAGTTGAGTATTGCTCATGAGGCCATTATTAATTATAGCATATTTCAGATTCTGTTCATTTTACGAGCATGACACAGGCTGTATTTTTATTTCACTTTTAGTTTTGTGTTTATTCATTTCTAAAGAGAGAATATACAATTATGAAGTATATCATGATATAATTTTAGATTTATAAGCAGGAACCAGAGCTCATTTCTATGGTAAATTTTCATATAATATGCCATTGGGTAGAGCAAAGTAAGTGCCCAGGATGGTAGTGAAACACATTCTTAACATTGATGAGAAGATACAATTCATTTTTTAAAAGCCTAAATTTAGAAATTAAGGAAGACTTGCCTGAGCATCGAGGATTTCTTTGTAAACCATTGAATACCATATGATATACTTTTATAACTAAAAAGTTGGCTTTTTTTTAATCCTAACGTTTGACCCACAAAGACATTTGTAAATATTGACCTCTTTAGTTAACTGTTGCTTTCATGAAAAAGAATAAATTTCAGTGTAGCCAATTAGAATTTGTAGGAAATTCATGAATACAATGGTTCTTTGCATTAAGGTAAGGTAATATTTCAGGATTTTGGATTCATTGCATAATTTGTCAAATTATTATCATTAACTTTTGGGATTGTCAATCCCTAAGATATTTGGATGTATTTAATGTTAATCATAAATTATTGTCAGGCACCCAAATATAATTTGCTAGATATGTTTGCAAAGTTATTTTGTATAGGTAATTGCCGGTGTAAGCTGAGAAATTATGTTTGCCTTATATTTCTAAGTATCATTTAAGTCTCTGACCATAGAGTTTTTAATGACACACTATTTTGATCCAGGTTTCTGTAGATGCTGCCCATGGTTATAGCCCCCGGGCCATTGACATGAGCAATGTTACATTATCCAGAGACCTGCATGTAAGTACTGTTACTTTTTAAAAATATCCTCCAAATTTCATTTTTAAATGCATACTGTAACACTTTCCTGTATATACGTCCCAGCATGAATTGTTTGAATGTGGTTATCATATAATGTGTCCACAGTTTATAGATTATGTACCCTAACCTTTTAGTGCCATCAAAGTTGATAAAACTTTTTCTAGGGTATTTCCTCCACATATTTTTCTTAAAGATAATATCCATTAAAATCATAATATTATATAGTTATATGTGAGAAAAGAGTAAATAAATAACAATGCTCTGCTCAAAGATCATCTTAATTTTCAAATTGTTTATCCAGGGAAATTAATGGCATTCTGCTTGCTCCGTTCGTAGTCTTATCCGTTCTCCTTTGTCACTAAGGAACCTAGTTTGAAATGACAAATTTGAACAAAGATAAAATTTATTGCTTTGTACTTTCCTTGGGAGGTGAAAAATTTGCTGCCTTAGAACATAAGTTAACAGGTCAATATGATATCCAAACAGTGAATATTGACATTGTTAGTAACTGTTATCATTCCAAGAGAAATAAAGAAGTATTGAATTGTTAAATTGTTCGGTTGACCTTTATTATTGTTCCTGTATGAATGTATTAAAATGACATAGTAAACTGGAAAATCAAAAGTGAAAAGAATCTTAGAGGTAAATTTATCAAAATCCAGAAGGCCACAGAGAGATTAATGTGGCTAATCCGAGGTCTCTTACCTAGTTTGGGCAGAGATTGATCCAGAAGTCACATTTTTGACTGTCCATGTAATGTTCTTTGCATTCCGTGTTTCATAAGGTTTAGGTCATCTTTTAAAGCTTTGGAAATTAAAACAAGAACTTGTAAACAAATATATTTTTTTGTTAAAGTTCATAGCTATTTTGAAGTTTTATTATTGAATTAATAAAACATGTTGTTAAATATTATAAATAAATAACCACGACTATTCCTATAGAATCAACTCAGCTATTTAGTTACTGTATAATATTGCAAATCATTAGAATTCTTTGGAATTCAGTTTCCAAATAAGAAAGCTGTTTGATTATCTTTTAAATGTATCTTAGCACTAATACTCTATGATTTATTAATTTAAGGCATGTTTTGATATTACATATTAGAAAGCAATGTTGTCCTTTTTTACTTATTGAAGTAATAACTTAGCTCTTAAATATTTTTTTCATTTAAGGCTATGGCAGAAATGATGGCTGAAAATTACCATAATATATGGGCAAAGAAAAAGAAAATGGAGTTGGAGTCCAAAGGTAATATTCTCTAAAAATCTTTATCAAAAAATAATCAGAGTTCAGCTACATGAGTATATGGATGAAATAATTAGTCTTTTAAGCACAAAAGCTCATTATACCTTTATTTTATTAGAATGGTTAAAATGTGCCTATAACAGAGTCGAGGTGAAAATTCTGTAATTTCCTGGCTGCTATTGTGTATTTTCTTGTGTCTCAGAATTTTGATGGCTCTCTTTTACCCAATTTAGCATATAGGCATCTATACTTATCTTCCTATTAATAATATCCATAGTGTTCTATTAATTACTTAGACCTCACTTCCTGACTCTCATTTCTAACTTAAATATCTCTTATCTCATCCCAGTTTATTCCTATCTCAGCCTCTTTCTTTTATCTAGTCTGTTACGTTACTGTCTCTTACATGCTTCTGTTTGCTCTTTTCTTCTTTTTCTAAAAATACTAAAATGATCTAATATTCTATTAGTCATTTCTCAAGTCTTATTTTCATGTTTTGTTAAGTTTAATATATCCTACACTGATGATTTCTTTCATTGTTATTTGTCATTAGTCTATACCCATACTGTTTATAGTGTGTGTGTGTGTGTGTGTGTGTGTACATACTTTCTCTTTAATGACTTCCTATGTGGGTTTCTTCCCACAGTTGGAATAAAATTTTTTCAAGTTGAAGACCCCAACTTTTACTTCTTTTGTAATCCTTATTGTATAGTTCTGGGCACCAAGAAATCTTCTATTTCTATTTATTAGAATGGATAAAAATACAGAGGGAGAAGATTTTTGCAAGATGGAGGTATTTCGTGGTGAAGGGGATAGCTGCAATATAGTAGGGTGGTACCAGTACCAAGCACTGGGAAACAGAATAACACGGAATATAATAGGATTGTTCATGGAGAGACAATGAGTGGATTCTACATTTTAAATTGCCTATTGCAAAATGTGGCTCAGAACTGTGCCTGTTATTCTAAAACACTCCATGAATGTGTAGTAAATGAATGATTAATTCATTGGCTGGCCCGTGGATGCATGGATAGAAAATGAATCATAGAGTTTTGCTGAGTAATATTCTTGAGGGACACTACCTACATGACTAATAAATAAAATTACTATGTTTTATGTGAACAGAATGGATGATAAAAATCCATTCCTTTTTTTCCAGCTATGTTTCAGTCACTATGGTTGGGTTAAAATTAAAATTAATAAGCAGCTATGTTATTAGAAGTTGAATATCCCTTATCAGAAATCCTTGGTACCAGAAGTGTTTAGGTTTTTGAATTTTTTCAGATTTTGGAATATTTGCATACAGTTAACCAGTTCAGCATCTCTAATCCCAAAACCCCAAATCTGAAATACTCCAATGAGCATTTCCTTTGCGTGTCATGTCAGTGTTCAAAAAATTTTGGATTTTGGAGCATTTTGGGGTTGTTATTTTTTGGATTAGAGATATTGAACCTATGCTGCTTTGCTAAATAAGTATGCTAGAAAATCAGCATTGCTTCTAATTTCTGGACCACACATTGAGCGTCCTACAGTCAATGTTTTATTTAAGTCATGCCACTCGTAGATGAAACATCCATACTTCTGCCTCCTGCTTGTTCTGTCCCAAATTCCTGTTACATAGTTGGGAAACATGGTTGCAGCAAGCTAAATGATAAGATAGATGAAATTAGTCCTCACAGTCATTGATCTTTCTCACTGCCCCTGTGCATCTCCTTTTAACAGAGGAAGTCAGTTGTTTAGGACCAAAATGGCAGACCAGTAGGAAAGGTGTTGAGATATACAGCACTGGATGCTGGCTTTTAGGTTATCGAGATTAACAAAGCAGAGAAATGAGTCTTGGAAAGGTAAGATAAGCCTGAGATTTGGGACAGAACAGAAACCACACACGTCTTTTCTTAAATTTGTTTTCTCACCTGGGGATGTTAATAGTAGGGAGGACGCTTATAACCAGCAGAGTAGGCAGCTATGTCCTGCCAGCTCTACTTCCACTGCCAAGAAGGTCTGGGTGGGAGGGTGGGGGGTGCCTGTTGCCACTCTCGGTACCTCTGTGTGTGTGTGTGTGTGTGTGTGTGTGTGTGCGTGTGTGTGTGTGTGTGTGTGAGAGAGAGAGAGAGAGAGAGACAGAGAAAGAGAGACACACACAGAGATAGAGATGGGGGAGAGAGAGAGAAACAGAGAGACACGGGAACTCAGAAACACTAACACGATCCGTGCGAAGCTGTGCAGTTTCATTTCCACCCATTCTGATCTCTTTCATCACCTGGGCATCTATGTGCAGAAGATGAATCTGCATCAGAAAACTCTGGAGTAAAATCCCTCTCTTGCTTGCCCTGGTCATCTGGTCTTCAGTGCTCTCCCAATTAGCTTTAGGAATCTAGCAAAGTTTTGGGGGACATCAGGTGCCATAAGGAGTATATCATTAATAGAAATAAAGGAATAAAAGTCCAAAAAAGTGTGATCAGCACTCCCACATTAGTGAAAAATGTAAAGACCTGGCGTCTCTTTTTATTAATCTTTCCCCACCACCTTTTCAAGTATTTTGTATCAAAGTAAGCTGTTGTGAAGCCAAGGACAGCCCCAGTAGCAAGCATTTTTGACCTTTGGTATAAATAAGTTCACAGGCCGGTGCTAGTAAGTTTGAGGCAGTATCCTAGGAACTACTGCCTATTCATGTAGCTGGTTTCCTTCCACATAAGACACCTACACCCATGTCATAAATGGGAAAGAGGAGGGTTGGAAGAGCAAGGGAAATGCCCACAGTCATTGTTAAGAGGCACAGCAAAGGCATAGGTCCCATTCTGCCGGCTGACTTCAAATTACCCACCCCATGTAGTTCAGTGGAGATCTCATAAGGTGAGGAGAGTTTCAGAGTCCGAAGGTACTTTGTGTTCTTAGGATTTTTAAATTATGGATCCCTCTGTCCCTCCACTTCCCCCAGAGTAAGCCATTGGTATATGACCCCAAAATCATTGTAGATTACAAATTAAGTTGCCAAATTAATAAAATTCTCTAGGACTAAGTGTAATAATAGAGCTCTAAATAGGTGATGATTGGCTAAATTAGGATGATTGAATTATTAGTATATACTTGATTTTTTTTTGATAACACAGATTTTAAAATTTTTATTTTATTTGTATAGAGTTGTTCAAAAAATGACAATGAATATTTCTTTATTTATCATGAAATTTCTGATTCTCCCATTTCAAAAGTTAAAAAAAAATTAGTGTTGTCAATTTACATATCTGTAAATTACCCAAAGTATTTATTTTCAGCTTTGACAAAGTCTGCTAGGAATTGCAAAGAATAAAATTGCTAGAAAACAATGATGGGCCTTCAGCTCCAAAAGGAGCATTGTAATTTCTAGGTGTTTTCTGACCCGGCACCCTCTTTTTTTGTTTGTTTGTTTCAGCATATTATGGGGGTACAGATGTTTAGGTTACGTATGTTGCCCTTGCCCCCCCCAAGTCCGAGTTTCAAATATTAGATACTTGATTTTTAAAAATTGCTTTTATTGTTTTTAATTGGCACGTAATGATTGTACATGTTTATGGGTTGCAGTATGATATGTCAGTACATGTGTAGAGTGGGTAATGTTCAAGTCGAGCATATCCATCACCCAAAGCATTTATCATGGCTCTGTGTTGGTAGCATTCAAAATTTGCTCCTCTAGCTATTTGAAAATATACAATAAATTTTTAAAAATTATGCTATCCTCGTAAAGTATCCTGTTAAATTGGATCTTTGATTAGGACAGAAGTCGCATTTGGTTCCCAGTGCACTTTGTGAATATTTTCTATAACCTTTTTTGCTATTCACAACGTGTTTGTTAGTATTGTCCTCTGACAACTGTAGTATGCTTGATACTATTAATGTCATACTATGAAATAAATGACGGCTCCTCACTATGCTTCACATTTGTTAGCTTGGTGGCTTTTGACTGTTCCCTTGCATTTACGATAGTATAGTGTCACCTAATGGTCATAAAGTTCAGTGGGTGATTGCATGTCCAGATGACACTAGATGCTGAGATGGCACTCTCAGTCAAAGCCAGCTCTAGAAAAACAGGACACTTTCTCCTTTGCATTTTTGCTTATTTTCTGTGTAGGGAAAATTCAGCATTTAGGATTGTTTTTGTAGCTCTTGGCCAAACTACATTGGAAACTGATTTAATAGGCTGTCTGTTGTTATCATAATTCAAACAATATGTTTATTCTTAATTTTTTTCTTCCTAGAATTTCGGTAGCAGTTGTATTTCAGGGTCATTCAGCATCCCACACAATGCATATTACCATACGTATTTTATGAACTTTAAATTTGGGGCAGACCATGCCATTCAGTTTGCTACTGCTTTAATAGCATCTTTGCATCAGATCTTTATATCTGAAATCAACAGTGCATTTGTCTATATTTTTATAAAAAATATTTTATAAAATTTATAATTTTAGAATTTTTTTCTCCTTATTAGTTTTTAAAATTTAAGTATTTTCTAGACTTTTTAAATCTAAAGAATGGAATACTTTTAGTATTTCTCACCTGAATAGGTATACTAGGAATTTAGACTCTTGCTAGAAGTTTGCCAGAATTTTTTAATGAATGATCAAGTGCTTTTTTTGAGACAGAGTCTGGCTCTGTTGCCTGGGCTAGAGTGCCGTGGCATCAGCCTAGCTCACAGCAACCTCAAACTCCTGGGCTCAAGTGATCCTCCTGCGTCAGCCTCCTGAGTAGCTGGGACTACAGGCATACGGCACCATGCCCGGCTAATTTTTTCTATATATTTTTAGCTGTCCAGCTAATTTCTTTCTATTTTTAGTAGAGACGGGGTCTCGCTCTTGCTCAGGCTGGTCTCGAACTCCTGACCTTGAGCGATCCACCAACCTTGGCCTCCCAAAGTGCTAGGATTACAAGAATGATCAAGTTTTAACTTAGCACATCCACCTGGGGTTTTGTGTATTCATAAATAACGTGACTATAGAGTACTCTCAGATCTGAGAGGTGTAATAAAAATTTGATATTTAAGACATTTTTTTCTCTTCTCTTGGTGGGGCAGAAAATGAAGCATAACACCTGAAACATGCCTTACAATTCTACTAGATCCAGCTGAGTATGTTTTAGTGTCTATTTCAACTCATAATTCCTTTGAAGAGAGAAGAGAATGCAGCTGTTTCTCCCTCCTTGGTTACTGCAGATGTTATTGACACTTGATATTATAAATGCATGTATGTTCATGTTTTAATTGCCTCTTACAAGGCATATGCAGTCTTTCTTTGAACAGTTTTCCTGAATTAATTGGAATATTAAAGGCACTAGAGGCAGAAGTCTTAATGAGTCTTATATGCGCTATGTATCATTAAACGATATGAAAAGTTTTGTAGCATGGTCCCGTTATATATGTGGGTGTCTCATCTAAGATTATGTTCAAATTACTATGCTGCGTTCTTATCCTGACATTCTCCTAGGAGGCGGAAACCATCCCCTGCTGGTGCCGTATGATACACTGACAGCCAAAGAGAAAGCCAAGGACAGGGAAAAAGCACAGGACATCCTCAAGTTCTTGCAGATCAATGGATATGTTGTATCCAGGTAAAAGTGCACCTACCCCAATTACACATTCTTTTCATAAGACTGAATATTTAAATATACCCATCAGATTTAAAGCTTAAAATGAATTCAATGATCTGTTTAAACCTTAGAGCTACTGTTTAGTATGTTCAGAGTGCACACATATCTGAGACATTAGTGTCCTTAGCTGTTTGCCACATAACTGAGTTCCTTTGCTGCTTATATTAAATCACCTTCCATCATTTAGGCAAAATCCCTAGGCCAAATAATCACACTCTATTTTTGTAAAGGCAACACTTTATTGCATAGTAATAGAGTTATTCACTGCAGTTTCATGTTAGATGCAAAGTATTCCTTATAAAGTAAATCTCGTTTTTCCCTTGAGCTACAAGAATATTTGATAAACTTTAAAATTTGTATATTTGTATATTTTCTTTTTTATAAAATTTTGCCATCTAAGAAACTGTGTAAATTGCTTTTCATATTTCATTTTTTGCTATTCTAGAGGGTTTAAGGACCTGGAATTGGACACACCTTCTATTGAGAAACGATTTGCTTATAGTTTCCTCCAACAACTCATTCGTTATGTGGATGAAGCCCATCAGTATATCCTGGAGTTTGGTAAGTACCATATTCCTATTGCTAATAGCCCAGTTTTTGTTTTTCTTAATGTTTACAACATCAGGATATAGAAAAGCATATTCTACTGGGCTGTTTCCTGATAGTATAAGCATGTCCTATTCATCCTAGTACTAAGTAGCATCCAACAGTCAATAGACAAACAAGTTCTTCATGAGTGGGTTAAGTTTGTGAACTTTTAGAAAAATCTCACATATATACTTGGGAGGCTAAGGTGGGAGGGTTGCTTGAGCCCAAGAGTTCAAGACCATCCTGGGCAACATAGCAAGACCCTATCTCAAAAAAAAAAAAGAAAAAGAAAAATCTGACCTGTAATTCTTTTTTTCTTATGTTTATTGGCATTGATTTTTTTTCATTTTGAAAGATACATTTGAAAGACATCAAAATTTTAAGATGGAGTTCAATCTTTCCTATGATATTAATTGTTCTACTCATTAAAAAAAATTCTATAGATTCTCAAAAATTCTAGACATTGTAAATAAAGGCCTTGAGTTTAGCTTTTGTAGGGACGTACATTTAAGCTGGAGTATCTGCAGTGCAGAATACTTTATATGCTCTTAGGGTACAAGGAAAGACCTTCTCCCCATCTAGCCCAGGGCTGCCTCAACACAAAAAGAACTCACTATTTTGTGTCTTAAATTCAGAACAGACCATCAAAGCAGCCTCCTGTCACTTCTGTTATTTTGTGATCCTCCTCAGCAATGTTGAATTAAAATTCAACTTCTTAATTACACCTTCATGTCAGATCATCTTCTAGACACTGGTTGGTAATATGATATAAGGAAGTATGGTTTGTTCCCTTTTGAAAACAGTATGTTCTTCTGGTCATTATCCTTTTATTTTCTTTTTCGATCTCAAGGTTTTCTTTTTGTTTTTGCTTTTAATACTCATTCCTTCTATCTTTTTTTTTTTTTTTTTTGAGACAGAGTCGCCCTGGGTGGAGTGCAGTGGTGTCATCATAGCTCACTGCAACCTCCAACTCCTGTGTTCAAGGGATCTTCCTGCATCAGCCTCCCGAGTAGCTGAGACTACAGGCACACACCACCATGGCCAGCTAATTTTTGTATTTTTAGTGGAGCCAGGGTGTTACTTGTGCTTGGGCTGGTCTCGAACTCCTGAGCTCAAGCGGTCCTCCCGCCTTGGCCTCCCAGAGTGATAGGATCACAGGTGTGAGCCACTGTGCCTAGCCACCTTCTGCCTTTCAACACGTTTCCTCTGGGCCCTTCATCCTGGATCCTTTAGCTGCTGTTTTTCTTAGACTTTAAATTTAGTTTCTGGCATAGCAGAAAGTTAAAGTTTTTAGAAATTCGAGCTCTGATATTTTCTCGTTTCTGGCTCCCTATATCATAAATGAGATTAAAGATTTTCCAGTTGACCATCGTTCTCGTAAAAAACTGCCCTTTCTTTCTACCTGCCTCTTTATCTACAGTCCAAATACTGCGTTATTGCTCTCTTCTTAATCATCTTTTTCATAAAAACTAACTATACAAACTATAGCATATAACGTATCTCTCTGTAGCACAATTATAATTTTAAAAAATACGATTCCTGATTGATCCTAACAAGTAGCCAAATTAGCCTGAATTAATGAAATTTGACCTCCAAGAAAGCAAATGAAGCAGTGGTGAATTTTTGAGGCTCTCATGCACAAAGTGAAATATTGCAATTTCTGTTCCGCATTTAAAAGGGTCTGATGGGGGAGCACCTCCAAGATCCAGTCTTCTTTCTGGCATGGCAGAGGAGAAGGGGGAAATGAGTAATCGTTTGGAGAGAGGAACAAGAAAATGTTTTTGTTTTTGATTTTTTACCTTCACATGGAAAACAGAAACACAAATGTGAAAGGTAGAAATGTGTTCAGATATTGTTCAAGCTTGATTCAAATTTCTGAATAAACTACCTAGTACAGTGCTTGTGTGTAGGGAGAGATGAGAATCTTGCTCCAGGACACATTCCTCCACTTAGCACATTTCATTCTTTCCACAAGGTACAGGATCTTACAAACCAGTGGTCCCCAACCTTTTTGGCACCAGGGACTGTTTTCATAGAAGACAATTTTTCTTCTATGGGGGGAGGGGGATGGAATGGGAGCAGTGGGGAGCAGCTGTAAATGCAGTTGAAACTATGCGGCCAGGTTCCTAACAAGCCGTGGACCTGTACCTGTCTGTGGTCTGGGAGTTGGGGACTGCAATTACAAATTGGGTAGAAAGTAGGTTACAATGACAGAGTCCAACAAAATGACATTTTTTACAGTTCCTATTGTTGTGTGTACTTTTTTTCGCATGTCTGTGCCAGGGCAAATTATGTATAACTCTGTTACATGAACAGATAGAACTGTGATTGTCAATACCATCATTTATTTTAATTTCCATCTTTCATTGTTATTGCAAGGAAAACTGCTATATTGCCTTCTCCCTTTATCCTTCTCATTATTGTCTTTGCAACACATCTTTAACTTACTTATTCCTAGACCTAAGCTAATTGTGATAGTAAGAATACACATACGCCTTTTTCTAATTTTTTTATTATTCCATAGGTCATATTCTTCCAAATCTTCTTGCATTTTGCACATAAGCATTTTTGTTAAAATGTGCAGTAAAAGACAAGAAATTTCCTATTTAATTCCTTGAAATATTAGCAGATTTGGCTGTGCACAAAATTTTGCCTTGACATACTTTATATGAGAAAGTCCCTTATATGGACCCAGCCATTTTGCATAATGTGCTCAAAAGAGATTTAATGACAAAGTAATACAAAAATGAAATTTGCAACTGTTAAAAAGATATCATTTTCTTTTATCTGTTCCTGGGGAGAGCGTTGTTCTGGTATTATAAAATATTACCTAAATTTCCTAAAAATTATCCTGAATTTATGTCTAAGATTTGATAAAGTATATTATGTCAAATTATTTTATTTCTATTTGCAAAAGAACTTTTTCAAGCAAAGTCAGTTTGATTCTGATAAAAGCTGGAAGCTCTGCTTACAAATTTTACTAAAACATGATATAAAATTATGAAGTTTTTAGCTCTTCAGTATGTTCTGCCTATCATTATGGTTATTATAGTTTATTATTACCTCTTCTCTATATATGAAACCTCTTCTGTATGCATGAAGGAGGTAAGAAAGGCCGCCTTCTAAGGTAAATTCATTAGGTTAAACTAATTCTTAACCTTGAATCATTTTCAAAACCATGGGGGAAGACCTGGGTGTTTTTGCTTTGCTTATGGAAATTATCTTTTGACATAGGTCAGAACTTCTTTATTCTTTAGCAGAATGCTCATTTTCCAACTTAGTATTAGAATTGTTATCTTCCTCCTCATTGCAGACCCTGACTTCTGCAAATTTCGAGTTTGTGTATTAAAATTGGAAGCTTTAACTTTTAGTCACACCCAAAGATAACCATCTTTATTAGAGGCCAGGCTTAAAATCTAACCGATTATGTGGACTCGATTTATACTCACTTTCCTCTCTCCAGTGAGCTTCCTTCCCTAAAGGCTAATGACGACCTGGGATTTTTTCTTGATTCTATTCCATTTTCCCCCTACATGTCAGTAAGATCTCAAAACCACACAAGTGTTTGTGCTCCTAACCATAAATATGGACTGTCCTTAATAGCTTTTTTGTTCGGATTTGTGTATTTTTAAAAAATCCTTTTTTCAAATTAGACCGTTGAAGTTAGCCTTTGTAATTTTGGTTGGCTTTTTATATTCAGCTTAGTGGGATAATACATTTAACAATGCCTTTTAAACTTCACATTTTGGGTGAATAGTCTTCCCGTGCTTGAAGTGCAACATGTACCTAAAAACTCTTCATATCTACAGATGGTGGCAGCAGAGGCAAAGGAGAACATTTCCCTTATGAGCAAGAAATCAAGTTCTTTGCAAAAGTACAGTATACAATCCATCTTGTTTTTGCTTCAGTGTGTTTGCTTACAAAATATACTCATTAGATTGTTGCCCCGTTTCAGAATGTACTTGTCTACAAGTGTGACTTTTACTACAAGTAAATATTCTGTGGCATGAAAATAACTGCATGAATCATGCTCCCAGCACACGTGGTCATACTTTAACTTGCTCTGATTTCCCTACTATCGTCCTCAAATGACTTTGTTCTATCAGGGGTTTAATTCAAAGTTGGCATTTTGTCTTTATCGTGTGATGTAGAGGAAAAAATATCTATTTCTTAACATTTGAATATTGTTATGACTTTAAATTTTTAGATGAATATTTCTTTTATCATTAGGAAACGCATTAGTTAATTTATAAATGGGTACATTTCAAAGAACCTTTAGTATAGAATCTTTATTGTGGGACCTTAGTCCTACTCATTTTGTAGAGGTTCAGAGAGGATAAATTGTTAATATACGCAGTCTATCCCATTGCTGTTATCCATTCCATTTCATAAGGATTTATCAAGAATTTGCTGTATTACTGGAAATTCATCACTTCCTTTTGGCCAAAAAGGGAAGGGGATGAAGAGTTTAAAAGTCTCCGTATTGGTTTAATTCACTTTCTCAATATTTATGCTGTGGCTAGTCTGTGTCAGGCATTAGGAAGTGGCCTGGGGATTGTCATGAAGACACAATGCCCTTGGGTAAGCTTTCCTGTTTACGACACCTTGTAGTTACCCTGAAGTCCTAATTATTGCTATCAATTTCCTTTCAAAGTGCTTCCATTCAATAGTTATTACAGATATATGCTATAAATGCATCTTCATATGGATTCTAAAATAGCATGCTTTTTGATTGATTACTATTTGGCTTCTAGTATGTTTTCAGAATTGTGTCCTTTACTGTAAGGGAGGTTTCTCTTGTCTTTTCTTTCTACTCAATATAGCACTCAGAGTCTGTTCCAATCATGTGAAGATCTGAAGTTTGTCCTGGGGTGCGCACTGGTAGCGATAGGTAGATAGATAGAGATATATCCATATGTATCTCCAGTGTCTACTAGGTTGTAATCCCCCTTGGTAGCCAGTTATCAGAGTGCTGTATTCATGGCTTCTCATCATACCTTTAAGATACATTCTGTTGCCTGTATACTCAGCACCTATACTGATTTTGTTTACAGATGCTTAATGTGACTTAATTTCTACTAAGTCTATATTCATTCATTCACCATATTAATTGAGTGCCTACTATGTGCTAATCACTAAATTCAGGCAATGTCACAACTTTCAAGGAAGATCAATAAAAATTTGTGTATTCCTCCATTATATATATCTGTGCTATACCATGTGGTAGGAAAAAAAATGTATTTAGATAGACTTAAGTTTGAATATTGGCAATGCCAGTTATTAGTATTTTTTTCATTTATTCATCCAACAAATATTTATCCAGTGCTTGCTATAGGCCCCGCACAGCCCTTAGCACTGGGGATTCAGTGATAAAGAAAACAGACCAATTAGCAGTTCTAGAGGCCAGGAAACGGTTATAATGAGAAAGAAACCCAGCAATGTTTCTTGCTTTTGTGTACCTGATAGGCTCCTAGGGAAAGAGACTTTAGTCCAAAATCATACACACAAAATGTAAAATTATAAATGATGTTATAAGAGCAGAGAATATGGGATTTTATTTGGTTGAGATCAGCAAAGGCTTATCTGATGAAGTGCCACTGAGCTCAGGTCTGCAGGAGCAGCGAAGTGAATAGATCATGGAGTGTGGAAGAACATTTCAGACAGAGGGAATGGTATGTGCAAAGACACGTGGCGTGAGCGGACAGAGTAAGGAAAAGGAATCCGCCCGAGGCCAGCAGGACTAAATGTGCACAGAAGTAGGAGGTGGGCTTTGAGAAAGGCCAGGTGAAAAGATCATTGCATAGGCAAGTAAGTTGCAACATGACTTTGAGTAAGTCACTCACTGTCTGTGTCTCCATTTATACCCGTAGAGCAGAAGTGATGGCATCTACAGTACCGAGTAGTTACTACAGATGAAATGACACCGTGTCAATTGCAATCCTCACACATAGTAGAGACTCAATATAATACGGTAGTCACGGGTTACTTTTTGAGCCTGTTGAGCACTGAACTGTATTATGTGAAAATATTGAGAATATTTTATTTTGAGAAAATGCTGAGAATAATTCCAAATTGTTGAAAATTTGCTCTATTCCCCGTAATCACATCCCACCATATTCGTCTCCCCCCAGACCCCAGCCGCAGACTGGAGACAGCAGAGTGCGATGTAAGAGAGGCGTACTCTGACACGGTGCTAACTGCATGGGTATCAGGGCACCTGTCGCATGCGAACAGAACTCTGACTGCTCTCACGCATCCTCCAAAAGGTTCCACTGCGTAGATCTGTTTTCTTTTTCTTTCTTTCAGGTCGTTCTTCCTTTAATTGATCAGTATTTCAAAAACCATCGTTTATACTTCTTATCTGCAGCAAGCAGACCTCTCTGCTCTGGAGGACACGCATCAAACAAAGAGAAAGAAATGGTGACTAGGTAAACAGCTCTAAAAATAAAATCTGTTGTTTGACTTAAGAGTATATGCGTTTGCAAAGAGAGCCTGAGGACCTCGAAGTGGGAATGTGTGGAGAGTGTCCTCCCATCTTCCCTGGTCCCTGTCCTCTTGGAATCCAGCACCAGAGGAGGATGGTTTCTGCAAGTTGAGATAGTGTTCTGGACATGGAGTTTCTTTATATCTTGCTGCTAAATGTGGTGCTGAGTAGAAAGTAAAATACGCAAGACAGAATTTACAGGCAGGGACTGGTGTTGCATCACCTGTTAGTATTTGTGATAAATGGTGCTTTCAACATGAGTTTCTTTAACATTTTTGTAAATCTAATATTTTCGCCAGCCTTTATTTTTCAGGAAGGCAGGATCCCATTTACACAAATTTAATTTAAAAACTAATGACCGATCTCGGAAGAAAATGAAGTAAAAATGCATACTATCTGAATGTTTCTCCTCATGCTACTCAACCCAGCATCTTAGCAATGTCTTCTCATTTCTTTTTACACCCAAATATTCTTTGTAAATCTATTTGTGATTCTGTTGTAAATTTAAGGTTTGTCCCTCAAAATTATGCTAGAACTTAGCATACGTGAGAATCAATCACTGAACAAATCTGCTTCTGTATTATTATGCTCAAAAGTCCATACCAAGATTTTAGATTGTATCTGACCAAAATTTCTATAAAAGTGAGTAAATTGTATAAAGTAGAACACAGAGGCTTTCCTTGGACTTGACTTTAATGCTGCACTCAATGGCAGCACAGCAATAGTATCCCCCTATTGGACAGAATGAGATGAGGCTGAACACATACTGTCACTGAGGATGGACAAGAAATAAGATTTGTGCATCACATAACACTGGGAATGCAACTAAAATGGAATTTTCGCTCATCTCTTTAATTTATTGTCTGTTTTTCCAACTAGTAAGTAACTAATCACGTGATAAAGGATTGCAACGGCATAAAAAATGTCCTCGGACATCATCAGATAGTAATTTTCCCATGAAGTTGATAAAACAGAATGGAATCCATTCCAGGGACACACCTCGTTTCCATAAATTGGCACCAGTTGGAAAGAAGCAGTGCAGTGTTACTTTCCAAGATGTGAATTTTCACCCCTTCCCATGTTGGCATGGCTTTGCCTCCTGCCTTCCCTAGGCAGAAGAGTGGCTGGTCCCTCACCATTTCATCAACATTCTCATCCACTCTTTGGGCCAGTGTCCTCCTGTGGATTGTGAGAGCAACACAAGAGCTAGAAAACCCTGAGCACCAAGTTACCCCTAAACATCATGAAACTGAGAACTCTTCTGAGTCTCCTACTTCTCCCTGGGTCCTGTTAGTCTTTTGTAACAGAAACTTTGTTCCCAGAGGATGTTGTAAATTTAGATGTCACTTGATTACATAAATCTAGAGATAATATCATCAGAGAAAATAGAGAAAATACGAATAAATTGATGCAAATTCTGCTTTTTTCCTCCCCTCCTGTCTTGTGTTTTATTATAGCCATTCAATTTTAGCCTTACCCTCAGAATTATTTGCTGACCACAAAATATGCATGCATCAAAACAGCAAGTTGAATTTCTTAAATATATATAATTTTTATTTGTTAATTAGACCTCTATATAGCTAGAAAAAAATTCATAGAACTAGACACCAAAAAAAAAAAAAAGAGCCTCTTTGGCTTTACAGAGTCTGTAACCCTCATAGAATAAATCAGAAGAACATTACTATTCTGTCCTAGCCTCAGTCAATGTAGTTTTGTGGCCCTAGGCTAACCCTAGACTACCCCTCTCTAATGACTTTGCACTAGAACGTTTTTAATTACCAGTCATGTGCCGTATAACCAGGTTTCAGTCAATGATGGACCATGTATACAACAGTGGTCCCATAAGATTATAATACTATATTTTTACTACTCCTTTTAGATATGTTTAGATGTGCAAATATTTACCATTGTGTTACAATTGCCTACAGTGTGCAGTATAGTAATATGCTATACAGGTGTGTAGCCAAGCAGCATAGGCTATACCATAGGTACAGCTTAGGCGTGTAGTGGGCTACACCATTTTGGTTTGTGTAAGTACACTCTGTAATGTTCTCACAATGACGAAATTGCCTAACGACACATTTCGCAAACCATATGCCTGTCGTTAAGTGATGCATGACTATATTTTATCTTTAGTTTGTCTTTGCCTAATGGAAAAAAGCTGGTAAATTTTACTTCTCCCATTAGTATTTCCAAAAAGAAGCATGTGCTATTTAAAATTCCAACATATAGAAAATAGGACGCATAATAGAAGTATCTTATTTTTATTACGTGAGCGGACAGAGTAAGGAAAAGGAATCCGCCC